ATATATATAATATATATATATATATATATATATATATATATATATATATATATATATATATATATATATATATATATATATATATATATATATATATATATTATATATATATATATATTATATATTATATATTATATAGTATATATATATATATATATATATTATATATATATATATATATGTATATTATATGTATAATATATATATATATATATATATATATATATATATATATATATATATATATATATATATATATATATATAATATATATATATATATATATATATATATATATATATATATATATATATATATATAAGTATATATATATATATTTATTTGTTTATATATATATATATATATATATATATATATATATATATATATAATGTATGTGTTGAAATAGTTAATGAGCACATGAACCTTAAAAAATCACCTTTAACACTGGGTCATCCGTTCCACATGAACCAAATCAATCCTCCAAAGCGCTATCAGGTCAGAGTTCACGAAGAAAATCCCGAAACCCTGACCTTGCGGGAGAAGGTCACGAGGGTCACGTCACAGGAACCGGGAACCGCCAAGGATCCCTCGCACTCTTTTCCTACTTCCAGAACCGACCTCTCGCACTCTACTCTGCTGCGCTCGCGACCAGACTGGCAGCGGACAGAAACGCGTTTGGTAATACTGCTACTCCACCTCCTCCCCTACCGCCCCCACCTCCTCCTACCTCCACCCCTCCCTTACGTCCTCCACCTCCACCACCTCCTCCACCTCCTCTATCTCCTCCCTTACCTCACCACCTCCTCTACCTCCTTCCTCTCCTCTTCTCCCCCTACTTCCCTCTCCTCTTCTACTTTCTCTCTCTCTCTCTCTCTCTCTCTCTCTCTTTCTCCCCTGCCAAAAATAGTCCTCTCCCTTAGTGCTTGCGACTTACACAAGGCTCTAGTACTCCACCGCCATTGCATGAATCATTTTCACCACGTACATCGGTTCTGTATGGCAATATCGGGATTAGAGTTTCGTTATGGTTGCAGCTTATACAAGTCATGGCATTTTTAACGGCGGAGTTGACCTTGGTGGGTTTCCAGTCCAACAAATACATGGAATTTCTAGTTTTATTGCTATGGATTTGCGTTTTAAACCTGTTGCTGATGATTGTTAAGAGTACTAGGTTTGAGAAAGTTTTGTGGAAAGTGAGTGAAAGTTGACCTGCAAGACACAAACGCACAAACTGCTGGTTAGTTCTATGGGAAGACGCATTTTGTCGGTATCAGCAATTATTAGAATAAGTTATTTTTATAAGAAACGAGAAAATAGTTCATAATGAAATTGTAAATATATGCAATATGGATAGAGCGTTCCTGAAATGATCAACCACTGAGGTGCGTCGCAAAATATTAATGGTAAAGGAAATAAACGTTAATCATGAACTGGAAACTTAGGTGACGTTGCCATCTTCCGGTCACCCATTTCCAGCTGATTGCCGTATCTCTTCCTAGAGTTTAACGAAATAGAATTTACAATGTCATTGATATGTTATTGCTACGACAAAAAATAGTTTTGCAATGATAATTACAATGACTGTAATAATAGTAATATTGATAATGATTGTAATAATAGTAATAATAATGATTGCAATAATAGTAATAATGATAACAATGATAACGATAATAATAAAAATGATAATGATAAGAAGTAAAATAAAATTGTAATGATAATAATAATAATAAAAAGGATAATGATCATACTAGTAAGCAGAAAAATAAAGGAAAGTGATAATTATGATAATAAATGATAATATTAGTAAAAGTCATTGACACACACCTCACTGAAGCCCACGTGGCTGACCTGACATGACCTGCTTAAGAGATGAGTGGGTATCCATGGCAACAAGGACACGTAGCCGAGGACCCCAACTTGGGAGTGTATTCATTGTGACAAACGTAGAAAAAAAGTGCGAATGAGAATACCTTCAACAATACAAGCGACATATTTGACCGGTTTCGATTATATCTTCGTCGGAAATGTATGTATTTCCCGCCGAAGATATATATTCGAAACCGGTTAAATACTTTAATATTGTTAAGATATTCATGTTCGATGTATTTAGCCGGCTTCCAATATGTCTTTCGCCAGAAATAGACGTATTTCCGACGAGGATATATTTCGAAAATAAATGTCCCGACGAAGACATATTCGAAACCGGTTAAATACATCTTCAATATTGTTAAGATATTCATGTTCGATGTATTTAACCGGGTTCCAATATGTCTTTCGCCAGAAATACACGTATTTCCGACGAGGATATATATTCGCAACCGGTTAAATTGCTTATTTTGTAGTAAGATGTTCACACTCTGCCTTCAGCCCCGTTCGCAACTATGTTAAAAGCTGGTTTTCACCCTCAATCAGGGGCAGTGAAGCAGGGACAGGGACACGGGGCCAAGGGATGCCTCAGGGAATATTTGCATCGTGTGGCACTGACAGTCGCGTTTTG